TACTGTACAAAAATAGTACTTAAGCAGATATTCTTTATTTTCATGGCTAATTAAGTTGCTATTTTATATGATTTAAAGCAGCTTACGAGAAAATCTCAGTTCAATCAATTCCTCTTTAACATAAATTACAGTGAATTATGTTGATTTTTGTCCTCTCTCGCATAAAGAAGGATGTGTGCAAAAATACATTGAAACCAAACTTTTCTGCAATGTGTTAACTAGGATTTTGTTCTTTTTTTGCTGAGGCAGTATAATGGGACATCAACCAATATTTTATTATTTTGGCACTGGCTGTGAATCAGTGCATTGTCTTTTTTTTTTTGCTCTGTGATTTTCTTGTATTATTTGACTCCATTTTGAAGAGAAAAAAATCCATATGAAGCTAAATATTATTTATGTTTCAAATCTGCTGAACTGTATTTCATTTTGCAATAATGAACTCATTATAAAGTAAATAAAATACTTATGGGGTTACACACTTCTTACTATGAAAATGCTCCAAAAATAATGAACAAAACTAGAAGATATCTATTTATTATCACATAAATGTTTTGTGTATCTGACATAAACATAACATTTGATGTATATTTTTGTTGCAGTTAATTGCAAAGCTCTAATTATACCTAAACTGTTGCATTAGATGGTTTGTTTGTTTGACTTTAAAGATAAACTGATTTTTTTTTATTTATTTTTTTTTTTAAGTCCGCAAACGTGGAACTATAACGTAAAAACCCGTAAGTGTCCGCAAAAAAGTGCAAGTGCAGAAACACACACACGAAAAACGTGCACTTAGGGGTGTGTTTGTCCTACCCCCGAAAGGGTTGGACCGTTCACCCGATCCCCCGGGGCACGAAGCTCCTGACAGGGACAAGGTTCCCATTTGGTCCTCCTGGCCAAAAGGCCTGGTGGACCACCGTTCCTTATGCCCAGCCGAAGCCGGACATCCAGTACTAGGCAAGGGGGTTCTCCCGAAGAGAAAACCCCCTAGGGATCAGGGGAGGAAGGAACCGTATGGCCACACATCCTCCCCCTAGACTTCAGGTAAGGCCCGAGGACCCACACCCTCCATCCGTGAAAACACACACATAAGAAAGCAAAAAGTGACAAAACGTGGGAGTGGTTTAAATAAATAGAATAAAATAAAAAAGTGGTACCGTGCCTAATAGTGCACAGACCAGGCCCTGAGGCCTGTAGCAAAAATTGCCCTGGACTTAGCCAAAAGACCTGGTCCTTAGGGCGCTGTGCAAAAAGAGGTGAAAAACAGTGGCCATGTGTCATCTTCACACCGTGGGGTCCCACACCCAAGTGTTACTAGTGACACCCCTGAGAGCGTCTTCCCCAGGGGGCACTGAGTTTGTGGACTTTTTGCGTCCCCGACCCCAGGCCAGACCAAGGTAGCATGCTCAAACCAGGAGGAACTGGGTCTTTCCGGTCTCCCCAGAGGAATTACTCCCAAGCCCAGAACGAATCATGGCGCTCCCTGGTTTCTGTCCCTCCGGTACTAGCCTTCCGGACCCCCATCATACCAGTGAGGGTACTGTACAACAACCATCCCCGTAAACTAGAATGGTCGGTAGCACCCCCACTGGACACTGATAAGAACAGATACTACACTTGATCTTAGCCAAAAGGCCGAACTGATACCTCCCTTGAGGAAGTCTGGAATTGATGTAACATGTAGGGTGGAGTCAGGGACTTCATCAAGCTCAGCTTCATGCCCCTAACTTTTAGAGAGACCAATCTAGAAAGGGGAAAATCGGGCACATTACCTAGTGGTAGCAGTAGCACTGAAAATTGTGAGTTTTTATTTAATAAACAAAATAGTTTTACACCATTTACACCATCTATCCTATGAAGATCCTAAGAGATATAAGGATCCTCAGGCGGAGAAGTGAAGTATTTTTACTATAATTTGGGAAAATCACTTCCTGACCCTTTTTAATTCATGGTCAAATTGTCCTGATGAGTTTACTCAAGGAAGATGTGCACATCCTTGACACCTGAGAGAATTTTGAAGTTTTGCATATTGGTCATTGGTTGCTAGCAGTTGTACATTTGCATAATATTATGGACTGCATTTTTTACCACAGGTCATTACTAGCTATCATGGAGGTTATTACTAGCTAAAAATAAAAATTAAAGTGGTATCAAACCCAAAACCAAAAATTTAATAAATTGCAGCTTATCAACCATTAGATGTGATGGCTACATTAGTTTTCTTTTTTCAGGCTTTCTTCACCCTCTGTTTTCACCTGGTGATCTGACCAGCAACATATGTCCCGTATTAGAGTGTCTACATTCTGGATGAAAGAGCACAGGGGGAGGGGAGCGTTTGATAGGCCTCAAGAAATTAGATTGGCTGTCAGTACTTCAGGATTGATCAATTTTCAGATATATCCCATAGTTTGTGAACTCTATAACTATCCTACAGCCTAAATAATAAACACACTGATTTGGGTTATTTTCACCAAAGAAATGTAGCAGAATACAACTTGGCCTAATTTTATGAAGAACAATTATTTATTTGCAAACTTTTATAACAGAAACAAAGAAACATGTTTTTTTTCAAAAAATTTTTTTTTTTGTTAATTTAGAAAAAAATAAAAACCCCAGTGGTGATTGAATGCCACCAAAAGAAAGCTCTAGTTGTGTGAACAAAATGATAACATTTTAGTTTGGGTACAGTGTTGCATGCCCGCGTAATTGTCATTCAAATTGTGAGGGCGCTGAAACCTGAAAATTGGCCTGGGCAGAAAGGGGGTAAATGTGCCCTGTATGGAAGTGGTTAATAATGCTTTAAAGCTGAAGTTTAGCTAAAAAAAAACAAAAAAAGTTTTCTTTTTCTACAGCTTTAGTTACATTACTTATTTGTAATGACATACAGTATAACCGATGATGTGCAGGCTGCTGGATTCTGTAGTAATCTTCACTGCAGGGCTGCCCTGTCCTCTCTCTGCTGCTGTGCTTTGTCCCGCACTATAGGGCTTAACAGCTTCATGTTTCCAATCTCAGCTGCACTAAAGAAAAGATGTGATTATCTACAATCCAGACAAAATAGAGAATTTTTCCTGCTCTATCCAAAATGAACAAAACAAATTTGACTGACATTGGGTTTTAATTACAAGTAAACCAAGTTTGTTTAAAAATCTTGGGTAGTTGTACTCATTTAAAAAGATGGAGGATTGCAATGTCAATGCCAACCTACTTTCTGTTCGACTAAATGCTAATTTTTACACCAAGTAACAGGAAGAATGTAGCACCAAGCAAGCTCTGCTTTTTGGCACCTGGGTGTATAAGACCTTTAAGTAGAAAACCTCTTTAATTTTTATTGATTTTTATATATTTCAGTCGTGTTCAGGATGTGTTAAAGCTCACTTGTGCAGTAATATGTGCTTTTTAATGGATTTGCATCTCTTTACAGTATGGATTTACCTTTAGTATGGATTACCAGCAATCCAGTAACAATTAAGTAGACAATAAAATACAGTTTGGACTGCTCTGGTTTATCTGTTACTGCTGCTAACAGACAGCAATTACTGTTAAATCTCCTTAAATAGATTTGGTTAAGACTGGCAGGTTAAAATCCGTGGGATATAGTATATTCTGACAAGCTTCCCAACACAATGATTAAAGGGATAATTACATTGGAAAAAAAAAAGTACCATGTATATACACAGTCACTTAATGTATGTAGTGGGCAAATCCAATCGCAACTCCCAGTTAAAGCCATTCAGAGAACAGATTTAGCCATTCAGAAAATAGATTTATTAGAATTATGCAAAAATAAATAGGATTACATGTTATTTCTCTGTTCTTGTACATCTGCAGTAACTTTAACAGCTAAGTATATTAAAATACCTCGCATTGTCGCCTTAAACTCTTTTTGTGTGTGTACTGTTATAATTATTTATTATTATTTTTTATTATTATTATTATTATTATTTATTATTATTACTGTTATGATGTTTCCTTTTATGTTACTTCTCTACCCAAACTCCTTTGAACCCCTTTGAAACTGATATTTTCATTGTCAGAATTTTTCTTTTTCGTTTGGATATATCATGAAAAGTTTTAACCCCCTGTTGGGTTTTTATTGCTGTCTTTGTCAGCATTAGTAAGATTCACCCTTTCAATTTTTGTTCTGGTGACAACATTTTGAGTCATCACCATAACTGGAAAAGAGCCAAAATCTTCCAATGAGAAAACCAGTTCTGGGGACAACTGTCTAAGAAGGTATTTCCTTTTATTTTCTGTTGTATCTCTCTGAAACAAAGGAAGAGAAATCTTTTAAACTCCATATAGACAACAAGAAAAAAGTTCCCATTTAGACCTTGGTGTCCTGGTGTGATGCATTAATGCACGTACTTTAGAGCATATGCCTTAACGCGCTTTTCCGTGCATTAGTGTATGTTTCATTAAGGCATCACAGCATCACCTTGGTACTCCTTTCAAGATACTTCAGCACTGATGTAAGCAGTAGACTAGCTCTTGTTATGTAAATATCCAAATGCCTTGATGGGCAAATGACAGTCTGCAGGAGTGGGCATTCCTGGGCAAGCTGTATTTGCATGCAGGCTGCCCTAGGTGAAGGCCTCTTGTCATGCTGAGCCTCTATGAAATCCAGTGAATTAACCACTAGCCTGCAGGGACTTATACCCCCTTCCTGCCCAGGCCAATTTCCAGCTTTCAGCGCTGTTGCACTTTGAATGACAATTGCGCGGTCGTGCAACACTGTACCCATATGAAATTTTTATAATTTTTTTGTGACAGATAGAGCTTTCTTTTTGTGGTATTTAATCACCTCTGGGTTTTTTATTTTTTGCTAAACAAACCAAAAACCACTGAAAAGTTTGAAAAAAAAGTTTTTTCTTAGTTTTTGTTATATAATTTTGTAAATAAGTGATTTTTCTCCTTCACTGATGTGCGCTAATGAGGCTGCAGTGATGGGCACTGATAGGCTGCACTGATGGGCACTGATGAGGAGGCACTGGTAGGTGGCACTGATGGGCATTGACAGGCATTACTGATGGGCACTGAAAGGCAGCATTCATATATGGCACTGATAGGCGGCACTGATACACACTGATAGGCGGCACTGACTGGCACTGATAGGCAGCACTGACTGGCAATGATAGGTGGCACTGATTGGCAGCACTGATAGGTGCACTAACTAGCATTGATAGGTGGCACTGATTGGCACTGATGGGTGACACTGAAAGGCAGCTCAGATGGGCATTGATGTGGCACTGATTGGCACTGGCAGGTGGCATGGATGAGCACTGACACCTGGCACTGATGGACACTGACAGGTGCACTGCTGGGGCTACACAGATCATCAGGGCACACTGATCATCAGTGCCCTGATGATCAGTGTACATGTCCCCTCTGAGGGATGACAATTACCGGCTTTCCTCTCCTCTCGAGCTGTCAGCGTGACAGCTCGTGAGGAGAGGAATGCCGATAACCGGCATTTCCCTATTTACATGCGATCAGCTGTGATTGGACACAGCTGATCACATGACCGAGCCGACGTCTTCGGCTCCTTCCGTGGATCGGTGATCCGCTGTGTCCGAGGGACACAGCGCACCGCCGATCGCCGCGCTGCGCGCTCCCGGAACCACGCATGCGCGGTTAGAATGGGAGGACATTATATGACATATATTTATTTTGGTTTTTATTTGTTTGTATTTTATTATTAATTGAATACTGTCACTTCAAATGTTTATTTTTACTTCCCATAAGATGAGGATGTCATCCATGGGATTTTTAAGGCACCATAAGTAATAATAAATGTATATAAAAAAATAATATTCTATTTAAAAAAATCATGAAACATTAATATGTTAAAAAACAGAGCTTGCACACTAGCATATAAAAACACTATTGAATATACAACATCAAGTATCTATCAATACATGCCAAATATCATTGGAGTACTGTCTCTATAAAACCCAATGCGTTTTAAACTGATGGATCTTTTTCAGGGGAAAACTGTGAAGAAATTTCAAGCTGCAGGTTTGACAGGTCAAGTAGCTGTAAGACACGCACTTAGCCATTGCTAAGATGGCAAATTAAGAAAAAGAGGTTTGCCTGGGCCATTAAGCACCGGCATGGACTCCTGAAGACTGGAAGAGGGTCTTATGAACTAATGCATTAAAATTTGAGATATTTGGCTCATCAAGCAGGATTTTTATTCACTGTCAAGTTTTTGAAAGGATAGTTCCTTGGTGTGTGACGCCAGCTGTCGAATATGGAGGAGGAAACACAATGGACTGTGGCTCCTTTGCTGGATCCAGGGTTGGTTAGTTGCAGAGTAAGTGGCACCCTGAACCAAAACTACTACCACAACATTTTTCAGCACTATGCAATACTTCTGGAATAAGAATAATGGGTCAGGGGTTCATCCCACAGCAAGATAATGACCCAAAACATACCTCCAGGCAGAGCTACCTTTAAGAGCTACCTTTGAAGAAAAGAACAAGATGAGAGGCTTCGAATCATGGAATGGCTAGCATAGTCTCCAGACTTAAACCCCATCAAGATTTTTTGGGATGAACTGGACAGAAGGGTGAAAGCAAAGCAACCTACAAGGGCAACACATTGGTGGGAACTTCTGCAAAAGTGTTGGGAAGAACTTTCTGAACAATATTTAATTTCCGTTATAGAAAGAATGCCACAAGTGTATTTGGCTGTTATATCTGCAAAAGGTGGCTATTTTTATGAGTCAAAAATTTAGATTACATTTCATTAAAGAAAACGATTCCATGATTTCTTTATGTCCAATTGTTTATTTGCTCTATGCTTTAATTTCAGAATATATTGAGACATTAAACTGCATACATTTCAATAAATACTGGAAAGATGGTAGTGTACATATTAAAATAAACAAAAATGCATTTCCTGCATTATGGCAAAAAATCTGCCTGTACCTGCATCTCCCCCTCACCCCCTTATACATACCTGAGTGCTCACTTGATCCAGCGCTGTGCCCACCTGTAGCAGCTCTCTGCCTGCTCTGAGGCAGCAGGAGCCCATCCTGTTGGCAGCAAAATCCTGTGATGAGGGAGCAATGCCGAGCCGTGCTGTCTGTGTCAATGGACGCAGGCAGAGTGGCTTGGGATCCAGCCTGTAGGTGTGCCACCATAGGAAGCCTTACTGAAGAAATGTGATTATTGGAAGATATGCATCAAAGGGGCAGGGCTCTGAGGACAATGATGTCACCAGGTTAACTGTGTGCTGCTGGAGGACAGAGAGAGCAGTGAGAGGTGGAGGGATTGGTGGTGCTGGCTCTTTCTGTTATGCTCTTATGAGGGTGTTTAACACATTACTTCCTTCAATAAAACAATGGTGAGCACTACTGTCAGTTTCTTCTGTTTACCAGTCTCCACATGCATCACTAATCTACTAAAAGAAATATCAGACTGGATGTCACACCACTTCCTGAAAATCAATCTATCCAAAATCAAGCTCATAATATTTCCTCCCTAACATGCCCCTTCCCCCAACTTCTCTATCAAAATCAACGACTCAACCATCAACCCATTCCCGCATGCAAAGGTTCTAGGTGTAATCTTGGACTCTGCACTGTCCTTTCGGGCCCACATCCAATCACTATCCAGAGCTTGCTGCCTCAACATCTCCAAGATATGTCCCTTCCTAACCAATGACACCACAAAGCTTCTAACTCACTCTCTGGTCATCTCCCACCTTGACTACTGCAACTCCCTCCTCACTCACTTACTTTTACATAGGCTTTCCCCTCTTCAGTCCATAATGAATGCTGCTGCCAGGCTCATCTACCTTATCAGCCACTCAGTGTCGGCCATCCCTCTCTGCCAATCCCTCCATTGGCTCCCGCTCACCCAACAAATTCAATTCAAGATACTTACAACAACTTATAAAGCCATCCACAACTCCAGCTACATTACTAATCTTGTCTCAAAATACCAACCAAATCGTTCTCTTCATTGCTCTCAAGACCTCCTGCTCTCTAGCTGCCTTGTCACCTCCTCCCATGCTCACTTCCAGGGCTTCTCAAGAGCCACTCCCATCCTCTGGAACTCCCTTCTCCAGTGTGTCCAACTATCTCCTACTCTGTCCACTTTTAGACGATCCCTAAAAGCTAATCTCTTCAGAAAGGCCTATCCTGCCCCACCTAGCAACTGTACATGTATTTTCTCCATCAGCCCATCTCCCACAGTTATTACCTTTTGTATCAATAGACCCCTCCCTCTTAGATTGTAAGCTCTACCAAGCAGGGCCCTCTGATCCCTCCTGTATTAATTTGTATTGTAATTGTACTGTCTGCCCTTATGATATAAAGCGCTGTGTAAACTGTTGTCGCTATATAAATCCTGTATAATAATAAGAAGAAGAATAATATATGTGCTGCATTTGGCTCATAACCATATCTGGATGGCTCTCAGGGATCCCTGCAAAGGCTGTATTGGTTTTGTTGCTTTCCCTTCAAGTGATTTTGACCTCTTTTACATTTTGAGGTCTGAAGTAAAGGTGAGCAATCTAATTTACCACTAGTGATTGCACTAAGGGTGTACACATTAGGAAGAGGTTTGCCTTTATCACATCAGAAGAATAACTTATTGTGGAAGTTTGGATAATTCACTGTGAATACACAGGATGACATCGGTTTATGGAATTTTATGGCACAAATGGACTTTCAGTGACTGATGCACTTTAATGGGATTTCATGATTGGATGCACTTATGTACTATGTGTATAATATTTTATTTATTTGGTTTAATTCATTGAATTGTATGTATGCTCTTCCGTTTATGGTAGCACTGCAGTATTTGGATTATTTTTTTCTGTGAAACATGCAAACTTACACCATCACCATTACCTACACCACATGACTGTGGTTCTGGGATTCTGTACTGTGGTGCTCAACCACATGAATATTGTGATGTTGTTGCATCACCATAGTGTTGTCGCTTTCTATGAAAGAGTGTTTTTAAAATTCAAAGTGAGAAGCCGGTGATGACATTGAAGAAGGTGAGTACACACGTTTATCATCATCAACTTAAGTGCCTTGTACTACACCCATGTGCTGTCTCTTTCTATCTTGATGAGTGTCCAATTAGTAAGTCTTGCCCTCCATAAAATCTGTCTTATTCCTCTAAAATGTCTTTTTCTTTTGTAAACAACAATTGTTTATCATGCTGCATCATAACTGTATTTTAAGTTTCTGTTCAAAGCCCCCATAAACGTCATGTGAATGTAAAAGGCCAAATTGGAGATAAATTGCTATATTTCCCTATCCAACAAACCCATCTTGGATTTGTAATCCTCAATCAGCAATAATATCATGTCCCTTAAACATGATGAAAGATTCTCCTCACATTTCTCTTTAAAATCATCCAATACTTTAGGTAGTTTTGTAAAAAAATGTATTCTTAGGCCCATTTGGCCTCATACCCTTCACTAATATAAAGATCTATGTTGTTAGTTATTTTACATTGTTTCTGTGAAAACAGAAATAATGAGGCCAATAAAGAGTAATTTGTTTGACACAAGACAGGTCTAGGATAGTTGTAAGGGACTTCTTTAAAACACCAAAAACCACTCCACAGCTCTGTTGCCCAAATATAATTAAAAGTGCGCATTTAATATGTAATAGACTGTAATGTCATACTCTCCTGCTGTCCTTATCACTGAACAACAATCTATTGGAGAGAAATCACAAAGATTTACAATCCTCTAGAAAGGTGCATATTGTATTTGCACTGTTAATTAAATTGGACCTTGCAGTGCACTGCAAGGGCCCCATATACTGTTTGGGCCCTCTTTCCCCTGCATAAGGACTCTTTCACATGGGACAGACCCGTTTAGTGGATCCGTTTGCTCATGGGGGATCTCTACACTGATCCCTGCTGAGCAAGAGGATGATAGCTGTGTCCTGTCCATTGCTGCAGAGCAGAAACAGAGCTGCTAGCTCTCCTCAATGGGTGGTCAGATGAAAACTGACCGCCTGTCCATTTTCATCCGATCTGATCAGATGGACAGAAGGGGAATTGGACCCCCATCCATCCCTTTTTGGCAGATCAGATTGGATGTCGACGGGTGTAAACGGACACGTCCTTTTACACCCGCCACTCCCTACAGGAAAATGGTTCCGATTCCACCGATCGGGTCCGCCTGAAAGAGCCCTAAAATATGGGCAAAATTTACATGGCGTATAACGTTATACCGATCCTATCTTCCACCCAGGGGCACCACCTAGCAAGGATGATGAAATAAACAAAAAAACAAACTAGAATGTAGCCATATTTTGTGAAAATTAAAATTTTCAATTTTGCTAGTGTTCAAATGCAATAGTTTAACTGAAGCCCTTAGCTTTCTCTTTGTAAGTCTTGCTTTTCCATTTGGACACTAATATACCTCTAATTA